CACACATGCATATAATCACACACACACACATACACACACACACATGCATGTAATCACACACACACATACACACACACACACACACACACACACACACGAACACACAGAGACTGAAAAGGACTGTTGCCATTAACAACATAACTTGTAGGTAGAACTGGAGAGATGGCTCTGTAGTTAAGAATCTAGGAGTTCTTAATTCTAGAGCTGTAAAAATCCTGAAAGTTCCAGAGGACCCAAGTTTGGTTCCCAGTACCCACATCAGTTGGCTCACAACCACCTGTAACTCCAGCTCCAGGGAGTCTGGTGATCTTTGCATACATCTACACTGCACATAAGTTCACATGCACCTGCATACTCAGGAATATATATACACATACCACACACAAAAGAAAAGAATATGCATACGGCTTGTTGTACTCTGAGGTCCAAAAAGAGAGCGTTTACTACATCACTTGATCACATGAGAGTACAGCAAGGACCTGAGCAAGTCAGGATGTAGAGGGAGCAGGAGATTCGGCAATGGCCTTGGTTGTGATGTCAAGGAAAGAAGCAGATGAGGTGGGTCAAGCAGGCTTGGGCGGGGGTGTTTTGAAGTGTGTTAGTGGGTTCTAGGTGCTGTCTTTCTTAGCTAGCCTTCTATTGATGTGATGAGCACCATGACTAAAAGCAGTGTGGGGAGGAAAGGGTTTATTTCACCTAACAACTCCCAGGTCACACTCCGTCACTGGGGGAAGTCAGGGAGGAACTCAAGGCAGGAGCCAAAGCAGAAGCCATGGAGGAACACCACTCACTGACTTGCTTTCCATGGCTTGCTCAGCCTGCTTTTTTATACTACCCAGGACCACCTGCTCAGAGATAGCAAGGCCCACTGTGGCCAAGGCCATATAGTATCTCTTATTAATGATGAAAACGCGCCCCCAAGGCTGTCCTACAGGCCAATCTGATGGAGGAATATTCTCAGTGAAGGTCTCCTCTTCCCAGATGACCCTAGCTGTGTTAGGAGGAAACTGGTTAGCACTCTGTCCTTAGCTGTGTGGTGTTTAGTCCTGGACAGGTGGGTACTGACTAAGTGAGGAAGTTGTGTGTGTAGAGTCTCTATTTGGTTGCATCTGACAAACTGTACCCTCCTTGGAGCAAGTCCTCTCCATCATGGCACGCATGGGTAAGGTGCAAAAGTCAGAGTGACTCAGGCATGTCTGTCATGTCATGTCATGTCATGTCATGGGGTCATGTCATGTGCAAGGCAAATCTGCCACTCACATTCTAGAAAGGGGCTTACAGAGTTTTCCTGGGGCAGAATCTCATGTCCTGTGGTCTTTGCAGTTTCATGAAGTATTGGAACGAAGGGGAACCCAACAACGTAGGGGATGAAGACTGTGCGGAGTTCAGAGGGGACGGCTGGAACGACACCAAATGTGACAACAAGAAATTCTGGATCTGCAAAAAACCCAAAACTTCCTGCCCTAGCGAGTGATGGCCAGCCTCTCTCCACTACCCCCACAGCCCAAACACCCAGTTCGTTACACCTGTCTGCGGCCACTGATGCTGTCACAGGATCTCTGGGACTTTCCTCTGGCAGGTAGCTTGTCTCCCGAGTGGCCGGACCACGGCTGTGTAATCCTCCTTTGGGTTAGTGGATGTGGCTCTGGTCCACCTTTGCCTTCTAATGAAGTGGCCGGGTCTGAGATGTATCCAGGCCCTTGAGTGGATTCCTTTGGTTTCCTCTGTCTTCCTTTCTGAGTCCAGAGCAGGTGTTGCCATGTGTAACTGATGACACATCCTCTGTGGCTTCCTAACATCTCAGAGTACTTTCCTCCCACCTACTAAGTTTTTATCTACCTACCCCGCACGCCTTTCTATGGATGTCTTCCCTGATTTCAGGAACTCAGTCTGTAGGCTAGAAGCACAAGAGAACCAATTCCTCATCCATTAGTCATGATCAGGAATTATTGTGTTAATACCCTGGCTCTCTCTCCACCCCTTGGGCAACATGGTAAGCCTCCATGTTTTAGACCCTGAGATTGACCTCCCAAATATTTGGAAGATTTGTAAATTTTATTGAATTTGCTCATTGACAATTTTATATATATATATATGTATGTATGTATATATATACATATATATAATTATATATATAGTACATTCTGATTATTGTCACGCTCTGCTCATCCTGAATCCCTCTCTTTTTTACCTCTCCCTTCCCCCATTCATGACCTTTTGCTTGCTTTTGTGACCCATTGATGTTAACAAGGGACATGTGTATGACCATAATTTGAAACTATCCAGCGGGGTCTGGTAGGCTCATCATCAACTGAAGACAATGACTGTCCCTGTCCCCAAATCCCTCAGCAGCCAATTATTTAGTGGGGAGAGATGGGGCCCTGTGAGCTCTGACCTGATCTGTAACTGAATGCTGAGAGGCACGATTTCGTACAGGCTTGGCTGCCGTGAAACCACGTTTGCACTCACAAAACAGAATCTCACAGCCCGTCTCCATCTCCAGCTCTTACGTATGTCCACCCCGTCTTCCACACCATCACCTGGAATCTTCTAGTTCCTTATTCAGGGAAGAACATGTTGCTCCAGCTGCTGGGAGGTCGTCTGTCAGCTCCTTCCTGTCCTGTGTCACACAGCACTCTGCCTCCTCCAAGGCCAGACTTCCTGGTGGAGCTCCCGTGGATGCAGGGTGATGAAGATGTAGCCGTGTCTGGGTCAGCGTGGGGCAACCCTGCAGGATCGATCATTCAGGTCCCCATAGCACCCCAGGAGGTCACCTGTGACTGCATCAGATCGTCTTTTCTAGGCCTGTCCCTTTGCTATTCTTGCTTCTTTTTTATGACATAATTAAAAAAAAATGATTTTTGTCCATGGTGCCAAGTGACAGGTTTCTTGTTTACAATATGTACCTTTGACCACCGTTTCATTTATGCCAACGGGGTGACTTGGTGTAGAGCAGAAAATCTCAGCATGGAGTCAGGCACTGGGAAGACCAGAGAGGTGTTTAAAGCCTGGAATGTTCATCCACATCCATTCGTGTGGAGACTGAATTTGTCAGTCTCCAAGGTCACAGGAAAAACACATTTTGCCAGTCTTCCCCTCCCTCCACTGGGGTGAGCACAAGAACTGTCCTCCATGAACAGACTGCATACTAAATTCTGACTTAAGTCAGCCTTAAACATGCAGGGCAGCTGAGAGGCACTCCACAGCGCCTCCCGGGGCGCTTGGCTATTCCAGTCCTAATTGCCCACATCAATCACAGGCCCACACGTGCACCTGGCCCTGTGTCCTTCCTTCCCTTCCTGGCCCTCTTGGTTTTCTCCCATGTCCACTGCTGTGCTGGACACTTTCCTCTCAGATAAGTCATTGATATCCAGACACTTGCCTGAGGCTCCACTTCTAGGACAAGCCAAATCGGTAGTAGATACTGTCTGCATCAGTGTCCGCCACTCGTGGTTCTCCACCTCATCCATTTTGAAATTTTCTTCTAGATGAGGTGTGCACACCTGTGTGTGTGTATGTGTGTTCTGAGTGCTATGTGTACATGCATGTGTGTGTGTGATGTGTGCATATGTGCTATGTATATATGTTTGTGTGCTTTGAGCATCCTGTGAGTGATGTATGTATATGTATATGTGCATGTGTACTGTGTGTGTTGTGTGATATGTATGTGAATGTGTGCATGTGTGGGTTTTGTGCGTATGAGTGTTGTATATGCACACATGTGTGTATGTGTGTGTATGTGTACTATATGGGTGTGTGATGTGTGTATGGTGTGGGCTATGTTTGTATGTGTGTGAAGGGGTGTTTGTATGTGTCTGTGTGTGTGCATGTATGTATACGTGTGATGGGGTATTTGTATGTATCCCTGTGGGGGGTATGGATGTATATCCATGTTTGTATAGATGCATGCATTTGTGCACATGGGTATACGTGTGATGGGGTATATGTATGTATCTCTGGGGGGGTATGAATGTATATCCATGTTTGTATAGATGCATGCATGTGTGCACATGGGTATATGGCGGCCAGAGATCAAAATCAGTTGTCTCTCTCAGTTGCCCTCTGTCTTGATTTTTTGAGGAGGGTCTTTCACTGAACCTGGAGCTCCTTAGACGGCTAGGCTGTCTGGACAATAAGCTTCTGAGCTCCACTTATCTCCGCGCCCCAGTGCTGGGCTCACTGCAGCACTCCAGCACCACCTGGCTTTTACCTGGGTGCTGGGGACCCCAACTCACATCTTCATGCTCGCTCAGCTGGTGCTTTAGCAACCGTCTCCCCAGCATTGGATGTTTCTGTTCGGTTTGTTTATGAGTATTTATTTTATTTTTTTTTTGAGATTATAATATCACTACAGCCTTTCCCCCTTCCCTTTCAAACCCTCCCATGTACCCCTCCTTGCTCTCTTTCAAATTCATGGCCTCTATTTAGTTTTAAAGGGAAAATGCACTTTTGTGTCAAATATCCCAGTATGTGGAACCAGAACAGAGCAATCAATCACTCCAGGGAGACTAAAGCTCCACCCTCCTGGGGAGCTAGGGAGTTGATTCCGCTGTGACGGTGATGTGACGAGCTCTTGCTACACTTGCAGATGACCTGAGCTTGGTTCCCATCACCCATGTCCATCAGCTTACAACCACCAATAACTCCAGCCCCAGGGGATCCTACACCCTCTTTTGACTGAGGGCATCTGTGCTTACACATACACTTAATTTAAAAATGAAAATAAACCTTTTTTTTTTTTTAGTTAAATAAAGGACCTCTCTCCCTGTTTTCTGCTGTCCCTGGGGCATCTTTATTACATCCCAACAATCTACTCGTCAAGTTGGTTTTATAATCCTGTGAAATAATTTTTTAAATCTCCTTGTGAATAGGTGCTGCATAGAGAGAGAGTTCTGAGGGTTGCAAAGCCATTCTGTGTGGTGTAATGATGGACATGTGCAAATACACACCTGCTCACTCCTCTAAAATGTATGACACCAAGAGTGAGCTCCAGTGCAAACTGAGGCTTTGGGTGATAGCTCTATGTCCATATGGCCCATCACTTAGGAGAAGAATCTAATGGGGCTGCAGAGATGGCTCCTGGGTAGAAGAAGCAGTTGCTGCTTTTCTGGAGGATCCATGTTCATTCCAAGCATCCACATCAGGCAGCTCACAGCCGCCTGTAACTCCAGCTGTCGGGGAGCCAGCTGCAACCCTGGCCTCCGTTGGAACCTGCATTCACATGCATGCAAACATGCATACCCTTTAAAATAAATCTTTTAAAGTGATTTGTCTTTGATTGCGTGAATGCATGAGGGTATGTGTCTGTGTGTGGGTATGTGCACCTGAGTGCAGGTGTCAGCAAAAGCCGGAGATGGAGTCAGGTCCCTCGGAGCTGCACTTACAAGCAGTTGTAAGCCACTTGACACGGGCACTGTGGAAGAGCCATACCCGCTCTTAACCACTGAGCCACGTCTCCAGCCCCAAAATAAAATAAAATAAACCTTTTTTAAAAAGAGAGGCTAAAAATATCTATACTCCAGTAGGAGATCTTTTAGACCAGAGGTGTTTCAGATGGGACAGCATTGTGTGGGAGCTCTGTGATTTCCACCCCGCAATGTTTATTCTGCAGACCTGAAGTTTTGGAGGGATTCTAAAAAAGAATATCCTGTCTCAGTTTCATTTCCTTTGCCATGATAAAGTCTCCTGACCAAAATGTGGCTGAGAAGAAACGGGGTTTTACAATTCCCAACCCCAGGTTTTACTCTAGCTTTGCTGGGAAGCTGCAGAGACAGGCCTTGAAGCATTGAGCCATAGCACACTCAAAGAGAGCAGAGAGACGTGAATGTTCACATGCTGGTGCTCAGCTCACTCTGTCTACTCATGTACAATGCAGGGCCCATGCCCAGGGAACAGTACCACCCACATCCAGATAAAAAAATGAAGCTATCAAGATAGCCCCCCATAGACATGCCCCACAGGCCAATCTGGTGCAAACAGTCCCTCACTGAGACTCTCTACCAAGGCAGTTCTTGACTGTGTAAAGTTGATAATCACAGACAACCCTCACATCCATTAGAAAGTCCAATTGGTTTTCATTCCAGATGGATTCCAATTAATAAATTCAGAAAGAAGTAGGAAATCACCATTCTAATATCACATCTGTAATTACTGCAGAAAAGAGTCAAAGACAGATGCTCTGACCAACGGGAAGCAGGGTCGCTGCAAAACCTCCCTGTATCTGGACCAGGGTGACAGCTGAGCTGGTCAAATGCTTGACTCACAAACATGAAGACCTGGGTTCATGCCCAGAACCATGTAAAAAGCTTGGCATCATGGCACACACTGGGCATCTCAGAGCTGGAGAGGCAGGAGAAAGAGGAGGGGACGTTTTTTGTACGATTAGCAGATTTCTCTTCCTCACTGACAAATATAAGACAGAAACAATATTCTGTGGTTTCTAAAGAACTTATACCCAAAAGAAAAAACGAGGGAAAGAATTGCAGAGGCTGTTTTCACGTTGACGTGAAAAGGCTGTCCTTTTTGGCTCAGTCCTGCAGGACCATTAACGAACTCAAACATTAACTCCTAAATTAGAACTGTCTTAGCTGGATGATGGTGGCTTTGACCTTTCCAATATTTATAGGATTTTCTTTTTGATTTTTACTTCATGAGGAAAAGAGTAAGAGGATGATTGGTTTTTCCTGTATGTGTCCATGTTCCTATGTAAGTGCAGGTACATCATGCATGTGTGCAATTGGGGGCCAGAGGTCGAGATCAGATGTCCTCTATTGCTCTTCACCTTATGTTTTAATTTATAAGTATTATTAGTTATTAGTGCTTGTGTGTGTGTGTGTGTGTGTGTGTGTGTGTGTGTGTGTGTGTGTATGATGCATACATGGGGGTTGCATTTATGTGCACATGCGTGTGGAGGTCAGAAGTATCATTCATCAGACACCATACACCAAGTGTGTGTGTGCATGTGTTTGCTTGTATGTGTATGTGTGTGTTTGTGTGACAAGGACTGGAATTATAATGGTTGTGAACCACGATGCGGGAGCTGGGTCCTCTGCAAAAGTAACAAGTGCCACCTCTCCTCTGACCCTGGAGCTTGCTGCTTTACCTAG